ATATATATATATTCATATATATATATATATTCATATATTATTCATATATATATATATATATGACAAATAAAAAATTGTTTTTAATAAATTTAATCCAGACTCCCCTATCTCTCTTCACATATTTATATTAAACGATATAGAAAATAAGATTAAATAATAATAATTATTAACTAACGTATTATAAAAATATATAGAAAAATAATAATGGCAATTCTAATTCGTTGACATAACATAAAACGAAGAATACTTTAAACATTTTGACTAACATTTTAACCTTTTAACCAACATATAATATTTATCATGCTTGCATTATATATTATTAAATATACGACAAAGAAGAAGAAGAAGAAGAAGAAGAAGAAGAAGAAGAAGAAGAATGATCATATATATACTTATTCCAATACGTCTATTTATAAATAATAGTATTTATTATTTTCATATTTATAAAAAATTATATGAACGTCAATAATTTCAAAAATGTTAATTTTATATTCTGCCGAGTGAGATGATTTAACATAGAACCAAAAACTCTTTTTTATTCTTTCTTTCTTTCTTTCTTTTTAGTGATGACTCATAAAATCGATTTCATAAAGTTTTAATCTCTTAAGAATATACTTAACTATAAGGTAATAATTTATAAAGATTTGTTTTTTTATTCGCGACAAATATTTCAAAATATTTTAAAGATCTCAGTCAAAGTTAGTGAAGTGTATAATGTTATAAAAATGGATGTATATATTAACAAAAATATATATATCTATAAATATAAGTCTATTATGGCGACAAAATTTGTCGATAAATCTTGACACATTATGACGAGAAAACATTGAAATTTTATCACGATATATATTCCTCTCTATCTCTTTTTTTTTTTCTATTTATATAAATTATTATATTAAATAATATATTAAGAGAATAATACCATGACACTGCAAAAAAAGAAAACAAAAACAAAAAGAAAAAAAAAAGAAAAAAATGAATAATTCTAAATTAACTTCAAGATTTTTGGGTCAACGTATATAAAAAAAAAAGGGTACGTAAATTAATTAGAATTTAAATATACCTAGACAATAACCGGATTGCTATCTTTTAATATCTGAAGACATGCATTTATTTCTTCGCAGTCTTTTGCCATGATCTCCAATCTAAAAATAAAACAAAGAAAAACAAAAAACAATGATAACAAGAGCAGTAATAAACAATAATATGTAAGAAAGTAAAAAAAAAAAAAAGATAATACTTTTAATTAATCTTACCTCTCTCTGTACAAATTCAACATTGGTAAATTGAAACGTCCTTCCATTAACGCACGATTACACAATATGGCTAAATTTTTGAAACATTTATAAGTAGTATTACCTGAACCCTGACTTTCCCATTCAGGTAATTCTTTAGTTATATTCCATGCTGCAAAAACATATTGCATCAGAGATGACCAATGTTGCGATTCTAGAAGTCTTTTCCCCTGATCAATTACTGCTTTCTATATAGATATAAAAAGTATAAATTTAATCGAACAAACTCTAAAGCATACATAATTATTTGATCATATTTTGATACAGTCAAATTTCAACCGTACTTGAAATGCTTCTAAATGTATGTATGCACGACTATATGCACAGTCATCTGCATCAGAGGATACAAGACTAGCAAAAACATTTTGCCTCAAATTACAAAGTTTTTCTCTCAACGGTTGTATATCCGCTATTGGTATTTTGTTCATAAAGACATCCCTTAATTTGTCATCTTCTCGTAGGGTACCACTTTCTTGCATAGATATTACATCTGTAATAAGTTTGATCAACTGATCATGGCTAAGACCTCGTAATCCATTTATTAAATTTCCATTGAACTTTTTTTGTACTGAAGTATCAATTAGATTTGTGGATTTTGAAGGTGTTCTCTTCTTTTTCTCCGATAAACTAAATCTAGACTCATCGCCAAGAGATAATCTCTTTCTAGGTGTACTTCTTAATAACATGGTTGCTTTCGTTGGACTCTTTACAGGAGTTCGATCCTTGGAACTTAAACTAAAATAAAAAAAGGACAAAATGTTCACTCATTCATTTGTGTTACACCTTTAATATTTTAAGAAAAATTGTAAAAACCAAGAACCAACCTTAATAAGCTGTCACGCTTACAAGCATCCAGATCTGGTGACCAGACAATAGTCCTTCGTCGTCTTCCGCGTTTTTGAATAACAAGTTCGTCAGGACTAGGAGCTGGACTACAAGAATCTGAAGTTTGTCGACTATTAATTACGTTGTCCATAGAATTTTGCTCAATGGAAAGTATTTCACCTATAAAATATGAAAGAACTTAAATATAACCCTTTCATTGGTGCAATTTATGCATAAATCAATATAATTTAATTTTATAAACAATAATTTTTACCAAATGACAAAATGGTGAATGATATTTGATAAAACTGATTAACAAACATACAATACACATATACAGTACAAAGCATATATATATAATATGTAACTTTTACATTTTACACTTAACAAATATGATTAAACACAAATATTATAAATAATATTATAGATACCTGGTGAAAGTGTCATACCAGGAATATTAGGAATAACAGCTAAAGCTTGACGTGCAGATCTTCTACGTGATCCGTCTGGTCTTCTTAAAAATTCTCTGGTTGGAGTGTTCATCATGCATCAAAAAGATGCAATTAAATATATTCGCTTTTAGAAAACTCTTCTAATGTTTAACAAAAGAAAATTTTTCTTTTTTTGTTTTTGTTTTTATTATTATTAATCTTCCATTTGACTCACTACTACCAACACACCATATATAAATTGTACTCACTCTACACACACACTTTCACGATTGTTTCTTTCACAAAGCCAACAATATGATGATTCTTCTTTTTTTTTTAAATACTATGATTTTCCTTATCATAACGTGAAAAACAATGTAAAATATAATGCAATAAATTAAAATGTACACTTTTATAAGTTTAAAATAGTTGTAAAAATGTTTCCAAACTTATTCTTCGCTGGACCAAGAAATAACGTTAGAGATCAAAGAAAAATGGCGGGAGTTCACAGAATCATGTTTACTAACCTCTGAATATATATATATATATATAATGTGACGTCATAGAAACTGTAAATTGTATCAACACTTTAAAGCAATTCTGACAATCTTATTCAAAATAAAATGAAGAAAACTATCATTCTTTTAAATTTTATCGCTAACCTTTCTTTATAAACATTTTAAGATTATATCGAAAATTCAATTTTGAATCAGGAGAGTATAAATGTCAAGAAGGTGTTTATTGGCATATATACAGTTATTTAATGGCAAGTTTTAAAGTAATTTCTTTTAAATTGAATCATTTCATTATTTGTCAGGATAAACACAATTTTGTGTAACTATAAAGCCCATATGGCAAGAATTTATCGATGCGATGAGAATGGGATTTAATGATTATTTTTTTTCTATCATTCAAAATGGCGGGTACAAATACGAATGAAATGTTATTAAATACTATAAAATGTGACATAAAATATAACATTTAAATTTATATATATAAATATATAGTAAAATAATTAACACATATATTTATTTGTAATCATTTATTTAGCTTTACAAATCAATATAATTGAAAGAATGATGTAAACATATGTGATTACGTCCATATTAATTTTATATAAATATTATATTGCAAATATGAGTTCGAGTAAAAGAAAAACTATTGAAATTAATTCGAACGAAGAAAGCAGCCCTAAAAATCGTCGTAGTTCGTTAGCAGTTAATTTAAGTTTTACAAACTTCACAGATTCAGGTAATGGTTCTCTCAGAAAAACACACATTAAGAGTAATGAATCGTCTGTTCAAATACAACCTTATTATGACTTATCAAAAAGTAATAAAGAATCTGACAAGAAGAAACAATCTAATAAAAGTTTTGTTAATAAATCTACTGTAAATAAAACAAATAATGTAAGTTCTTGCAAAGATCAATTGTTAAAGGATGTCAGTGTACGTGTCATTGATATAAAACATATTAAACAAACTGATAAAAGTTTTCAACAGCTAAGAGATGCAATATTAACTAAAACTAGAGAAATATTTAATAAACAAGATGAATGTGCTATAAAGACTACTCTAGTTCTAGAAAATCATAATAATCAATTATTAAATACTTATTCCAAGAATATTGAAAATCAACAACAACCTTTAAGAGATGGAATTACTAATTTACAGACCAATACTCAAAATGATATGATTAGTATCTTTTCTACGCCTGTTAAAAATTGCAATGATAATGAATCTATAGATAAATCAACAAAAAAATCAAAAAGAAGACTGTTTATGCATAATGATATTAATTATCCTCAAATCGTTGAGACTGCAATGAAAGAAAATCATGACGCAGAAAATAATTTGAGACAGTTATCTCCTAGAAATGTAAATTATAAAATTAGTCCTATAATAACTGGTAGTAATAGAAGATATCATGGAAAACTTTCGTTAAAATATCTTTCTAAAAATCGAACAAAATGTGATACAGAAGATTTGAGTCAAAAAACTGTACCGAGTTTAAGTAGTATTTTAAGTAATGAAATTGAATCTCTTGATGCACCAATATTATGTTCCACGTTTAACGAGGAATTGGGTGGAAATAGTAACAAATTTATTGAAGAACATAACATTAATAATGAAAGACGTAAAAAAAGTGCAACAGTTGTATCCATGGAATTAACAACTGTTCAAAGTCATAGTATGAAACATTATAATACTTGTAATGAAAAAGTAGATCCAATAAATGCGATTAATAGTAATCAAAATAGCAATAAAAAAGAATCTGAAATACAAAAGACAAAAGAAAAAGTAAATCAAACAAATTCAATATCAAATAAAGAATCTATAATGAATCAGAAAACTATACTGATAACGTCAGATATATTACTTCAATCAGGTCAGTTTATTACTGACAAAAATGAAAGTATTAAATCAACAGTTAACAATGAAAATAACGTAGAAGAACTTGACTCATCTTTACATGTAAATACATCTAAGGATAATGCAAATGAACAGGAAAATATAACTGAAGTTCGTGAATCGTTACAAGTGAATACATCTTTAAATTCTACGTATAAACATATGCAATGTGATAACAAAAAACAATCAAAACAAGAAAACACAGAAAGATCAGAAAAACATTCACGATGCAATAATGAAATAACAAATGAAAACAATGATAGCTCAAATTATATTCAATGTACACCTTATAATGAATGTCAATCTAATTTTCCAAAATCTCTATCACAAATAGATACAGTAATACATAATACAAAAGTTAAGGATTCTTCTAAGGTGATTGATAAGAGCAATGTAAAGAAAATAGATGAAATTACTCTTAATCCAAAAACAGAACCATGCGGGTAAGTATATTAAACTTCTGTTAAATATTTGTGTAGATAATAATTCATTTGTTTAAATAAATTATATTTGTAGTAACATCTTTTATTTTTCAGATGTAAAATTCATACAACAATTCTGTGTACCAAACCATGTAAAAACATTTTACGTAGTACAGTTATTTTAGATGATTCACCTTTTATTGCTTCGAATAAACTGAAATGCAATGAAGTAATTATAGATGAATCTCTTAGTCAGCAGGTAACATGCAAAGACAAAATAAAATATAACAGTTTAAAAAATACAAATGTTATACCACCTAAGATAAAGAAAAAAAAATTATTACCGCTTTGTGAAGAATCTAGATTATCATTTACTCCAGTGGAAAAATCTTTAACGCCTACGCCATCGACAACAAAGAAAAAGAAACAATTTAAAAAGAAAAAAACAATGAAACAGAATTTGTGGACGAAGTTTTGCAATGTCTCAAATGACGTAGAAACAAGTAATAACGATTTGTCAGAAAATAATATATCTTTCGATCTAAAGAAGAAAAAAGGACGTAAAAAACCTAGAAAAGTGGTTAGTAAGAAGATTGTAACTAAAAAAATGGTTGATAGTGATATATTGAGAAAATTAGAAGATATGCATAAACGTTCTAATCAGAAAACTGAAAACATTAAAGGTGACAATTCTATGAATGAATTTCAAATTAAAGAAGGGTCTTCTCATAGACCTTTTCATAAATCTCCAAAAATTGTTATAGTTATAACAGGATTTTCAAGAGGGTAATTTAACAATATTTTTCTAATTTACACCTTGATCTTTTCTGCATAGAGGATAATGTTATTAAATGTTAAATTAAATTATTTTTTCAGAGACAAAAGTTTAATTAAAAACATTGTAAAAACTCTTGGCATGGCAAGAATAGAACAAAATGTTACGCGTAGAACAACTCACGTAGTGAGCACAGGAGTGCGTACAATAAATTTATTGCATGGTATAATAAGAGGTTGTTGGCTCGTAAAACTTGAATGGATTTTGAAATCTTTGGAAAATAATGAATGGTTGAATCCAGAAGAATTTGAAATGATGCATTACTCAAAGGCAGTCAAAGTAAGAATTATTTTACAATTTAAAAATAGTATGTAAAAATGATTTTTTTTTTTTTTTTGTAGAAAAATATATAAATATATTTTTGTTTTATTATAGGAAAATCGCAAAGATCGAGAATTATTTGGAATGGCTTATGTACCAGATTTATTTGCTACTTCTGGTTTCTTACACGTTGAAAATGGTACTACACCTCCAGCACAAGTTTTAAAAGAACTTATCAAAGCTGCTGGTGGTAGAATAACTGAATATCCACAAGCTGCAAAAATTATTATTGGTGCAAATGGTATTAAAGAAAGCTGGATCTTGGATTCGATTACTACAGGTGTTTTACAATCAACAGCGCAATATCAAAGGAAATAGGATAGTATTATTTATTTATTCTAGTTTCTTGTTATTTTTTTATTTTGTCACAAATTATGTTTAATTGCCATAGGCAATGATAAAGATTTTGTTTATGGATGTAAATTATTTAACTAAATTATACAAATATTATTGGTTATTTCACATCATATACTTATATTATAATATAATAATCATGAAAACAATTTTATACTACACACAAATTTGGTGTATATTTTGTATATATAATATATTTATTCTCTTTCATATGATATCATATGATTACTTTTACTATGATGATGTATACTTAACCTTTTATATTATATAATATATACTAATAAAAAGTGTTCACTTAGAATATAAAAATATCTACAACATTAAACACATTCCCCAGATTAACATCTTCAAGTAAATAAAATAATGACTGTATTAAAAAATGCATCTGAAGGAATGTGTATACAAATCTATGCACATAGATGTACGTAAACATGACACAATATTTCAACCAATCAGAAACTAGGAATAGTCAAATGACGTAACTAACCATTTTGTATCTTTTTATCGCAAAATAAAATTGCGCCTTAAAGTTAAACTTTTACATTACATTACATTAAAGCGCATGTTTAGATTTAACATCTAGAATTCACCATACGATGTGTCAAACTCGTAGGTGTTTGTTTAATATGTTTATTCAAATTTGTTTAGTGATATTCTAATCTTAATTGTTTGCACAACAATGGAAACTACAACGAAGTAAGTATTTAGAAAAATTGTATTGAAAATTATTGTTTTTTATTTTTGTATTAAATATATTTCAATTTGATTAGTATCTCCTTTCGTTTTCTTTTATGACGTTTTTAAATTCCTTTAATTTTTAATGATTGTACTTCCGCATTTATTTCATAATTCAGATAACATTACTTATCTCAACGATTATTAACGTCATTATCCCATTATTTGTTATAAACTAATAATTATTGTATCTTCTTTGTTAAAATAAATTTAATTGCATATTGTTTATTATATAAATGTAATACATGATACATATGCTTCCATTAGAAATGAATGTATTCGTATTTATACATATTGAAGGATAATTTTTTCTTCTTTTCTTTTTTACAGTGCAAACATACCTCACTCAACTTATCAACCTCCATCACCGGATTTATGCATACCAGTTCACAAATCCAATACAACTATTATAACAGATGTATATGCTGGAATACCTGAAAATTTAGTCTTAAATTTAATAGGATTTGTGGTCAGTTCATTATTATCATTTATGAGTCATCGAACAGATGTATATATGATAACATCTATATTTATCATTCATTAGATATTTTCATTTACAGTTATTAGTTATCTTATTTGGTTTGCTACGTAAAAAGGCGTGGAATTATGGACGTCTTGCGTTGCTACATAAATCAGATAACAAATGGATGGAATTATTTTATGGTGACAATGATACCAGAGATTCAGACGCAATATTCTTAGATACATCTGTTAATTCACAATTATCTCAAGTGGACAGAGGATATCTATCATGGATTGTAACGGCATTTAGAATAAAGTTGGTACAATTTATACACTGTACTGATCAGCAGTTTGAAATGGCTATGAAAATTCAAAAAAACTCTATAATGTTTATAAGAATAAATGAAATGAATGTCTTTAAAGAAATCAAGGTAGTTTTTTTGTTAAGAAAAATTAACAAATACAATAGAACTTTTCAGTATTTTACTATTAAAATGTTCTATTATCAGCAAGTTGTTTCAAACTTTTGGCTGATAGTATATATATAATTTTCTGTAATCCATTATTATTTTATTTAATATTATAACATTATTTTTTTTGTAGAGATGAAGAATTATTAAAAAGAGCTGGTCCAGATGGCCTGCTGTATATATTATTTGAACGTTATTTGATTGTTTTAACTATTGGAATGGTTATTGTATCACTATGTATAGCATTACCTATTAATATTAATGGTAACACACATGATAACGATTTAACATTTAGTCGTACGACAATAGCTAATTTAGATCCAATGTCTTCTTGGATATGGGTACACTCGATTTTAATTATATCTTATTTACCGATTGGTGCTTATGTGATGAGGCGTTTTTTAAAACAAGTAAGGAATATTTTCAACAAAAATCATTTGATTTCACATAATGTTATTTTTTCTGTAATTTTGACAATTATTTGTAGGTACGAGAAACCAGATCTAGTGGAGAATTAGCAGCTAGAACATTAATTATTACAGAAATACCAAAACACCAATGCGATGTAGAAGCACTTACCGAATATTTTAAGTAAGTGTTACTTTGATGATGCCCCAATAATTATTTAAAATCTTTAAATATGTTATATATAAATTATTATTTTATTAATTTTAGAGAAGCATTTTCAACATTGAGCATAGAAGATGTAACATTAGCTTACGATATCAGACGTCTTTCTGCGTTAGATGCAGAAAGAGATTGTGCAGAACAAGCACGTTTGTATTGTGAGAATTATGCAAAAAAAAGGGATCCTTTAAAAATATATCCCTATCGTTGTGGTCAAATGTTGGGATGTTGTTGCAAATCCGTAAGTATGTCATTAAGATCGTAGTTATGTAAATTTATTATTTCTGAAGAAAAATAATTTGTAATATTTAATAATACTAAAGAAGGTGGACGCACAAGAATTTTATACAAATGAAGAAATTCGATTAACTGCATTAGTGGAAGAAGAAAAAAAATTGGCCTTGAGTAAACCACTTGGAATAGCCTTTGTTACGTTAGGTTTGTATCTTTATACCTAATTGTCAAATTCTTCAAATATTTTAAAGAATATTTGAAATTATCATTATTATATATTATGATGTAGGAACTCCTGGTGCAGCTAGAACTATGAGAAGACAATTAAAATCTTTACCTTCAATAAAATGGGTTGTTAATTATGCTCCAGCTCCTTCAGACATTTTTTGGGAAAATTTAAGTATACCTAAACGATTTTGGTATTTCAACGCAATATTGATTAATTTTGCTTTGGGTATAACATTATTTTTTCTTACGACACCAGCTGTAAGTTTTAATTATACATATTATTACAATGAAATTTCACATAATATATTTAATATGTGAAATATAATATTAATTTATATTATATATTCTCTTTTGCATATTTAGGTTATTATACCAATTTTGAATAGATTAACAATACCAGGAGAAATAACAAAAAATTTGAATCCTCTAATATCTTCATTTTTACCAACTTTATTGTTAGTAAGCGTTGCTGCTTTAATGCCAGTCTTAGTTGAAAAAAGTGAATCTTTAGTAAGACACTGGACAAGAAGCAGTCTTAATCGAACGGTCATGAAAAAAACTTTGTCACTTTTATTACTTATGGTTCTTATATTACCTAGTTTAGGATTAACCAGTGCTGAAGCATTTTTTCTTTGGACGATGAAAGCCAAAAATGAGACAGCAAGATGGGAGTGTGTATTTCTTCCCGATCAGGTATAAAATGCACATAATCCGTAAACTCATTAGTCAGTAAAATAGATTTCTAATAAAATACTTATAAATAAGAATATTTAATATCTTCATTATTATTTCAGGGTGCTTTATTCGTAAATTATGTGATTACTGCTGCTTTACTTGGAAGTGCATTGGAACTAGTGAGATTTCCAGAACTAGCTCTATATACTTTTCGACTTTGTGTAGCACGCAGTAAAGCAGAAAGAGTATATGTTAGAAAAGCAGTATTATGGGAGTTCCCATTAGGAGCTCATTATGCATGGTTATTATTGGTATTTACTATGACAACAGTCTATAGCCTTGCCTGTCCTTTAATTACTCCATTTGGATTGTTATATTTATTAGTTAAACATTTGGTATGTTTGACAAAGATTTGATTAATAATCATATCGTTTAAAAACTAAGTATTAGTTTCTATTATTAATTAAAAATATATATACATTGCAAACACACAGGTGGACAGGCATAATTTATGCTTTGCTTATGGGCCAAATGTTGGTGGTGGTCAGTTAGCAGGTGCAGCTGCTAGTGCAGCTGGAGCTGCACCAATTCTTGCTCAAATAGCATTTTTATCTCTCGGATTAGTAAGAAGAGGTTTATCTCCTCTGGCAGCTGTACAACTAAGTGGTCTTGCAGCTAGTATTTTAGGTCTTGTAACTGGAGTTACATTACCTGCATCTAAACCTAAAGTATAATTCATATTCACCTCTTATGTTTAGTAATTGTTCTCTCATTATTATTATAATAAAATATATAAACAATGTTCTTACTTTTAGACACAACCGCCGAAAAGAGATCTTCCAGGGGGAGTAACAGGACAAAGTTTTATTGCACCTGTATTAAAAAAGAAAACAAATTCTGTAGAAGAGACTATATCTACAAATTCAAACTTTGATATTAATTTGGCAAGTCCAAGAAGTACAACTTCTTCCATACAAGAGAGTCCTAAGCTTTATCAAAATTATGGAAAGGAACCTAAAGTGTAAGGAGTATTATTATATATCTTTGTTATAAGCAGTTTTGATAAACACAAGCTTATATAAAGTAACAGAATAAATACTTATCCTAAAAATTTGAAAATAAGAAAAAACATTTGCAAATATTCTGATAAACAGTTATTGTAAAATAATGTATTAAAACATGTAATTATTATTATTATTATTATTATTTAAAAGTAAAATTTTTTCATTGTGATAAAAATGCATAAATAAATTGCATATTAATAATATTTAATTCCGCAGTTAAACGCGTTAGTACGATAATATTGACACATTAAAGAAAAGATTTACACTGATAATTATATGGATATATTTACATACTTGCGCGTGTCATTACAATATCTCTTTTACACGAGAAGGTATATATATATATATATATATATACATATGTATGTATGTATGTATATATACGTGGCAGTCACTGTATTTTATGTATATAATAATAGAAGTAATGATACGTTTTTTCTTACACCCTATAAAAGAAGCATACCACCGTAGCCTTATTTCTAGGCACATTATAACACGAAATTTAAAACGATACCTTTAATTTTTAATAGGATACTTTCTACGCATGTATTTGTACATTGCATTAACACATTATATAAAATTGTGTACACTTTTTTTTTCTGTATTATATACATATATATGTATATAATTATATGCAATTTCTTATGCAAATAAACATTGGAAATTATATATATATATATATGACATTTAAAATCTACTACCATTGTATACATTGTATTTTTGTGATAGTTACAGTTTTAAATAATATGATTTTGAGATAAGAATGGAAGAACTCTTAGTTTAATAGTATACAAACACACTATTTAAAAAAATTATCAGTATTAATTACTTTACATTACTAATATGTAAATGAATATAGAAGGCAGTGTATATGCGTAAATTCATGTCCTTAGAAAATGTGTAATATACTAATTATAAATGTAATTGCTAATACAGATTCTTGTTTATTCTTAAATAGTGATAAATGAGCAGATACACGTTTATCAATCCTCAATAATATCAGACAAGGCACCTTTCAATTGCTTTATCGATATATTATCGATTAATAACACGAAATGTAACTTTGAAAATAAAAACTATTTCTTTTTATAGTCCATTCTAGAGTGAAAAAGAAAGAAAGAGACTTAAAAGAAAAATATATATATATATATATATATATATAATATATCCGATTTTCCATTCTAGAAAGCAGTCTTTTTCATGATTAGATCGTTTCGAAGAAATTATTTTTGTATAAAATAAAAAACATAAAAAGATGTAATTTTAAAGAAAAAAAAAAAAAAGAAAATATTAAGATATAAATCAATTATTTTTTTTTAATCGCTATTCTTCCAACACGAAGCAAAGTATTTTTAATTTAGTAGAAAGATTTATACAAATTTAGAATTCAGTCGTGTTTCATGTATATACAGAAAACAAAGTAAAAAAGTATTTGTAATACTATATTATAAATAAGATAAATAAAAATGATGATTATGACATTTGCTAATAAAAACAATATAAGATTACGATAAAGTACTATTCAGTCTATGAAACATAAAATATTATTATATATATATTTTTTTTTTTTTCAATGAATTATTATATAAACAATAGAATTAACTTTTTCTCTTTACCAAATATTCAGAAGTAGGAATGTATTATCGGAACAGGCGAACCTTTTATAAAATAGACAAAAATACTTTACTTTGAATTAATCATATTTTATCATTTCTCTTGCGTAAATTTTATAAAATCTGATACACAAATATAGCAGATATTTTAGAAGAGCACCTGTGTCCAACGTATTTGCTCATGTATATTAAAAAGAAGAAGAAAAAAAAAGAATAATAATAATAGAAATAAAAAAAAAAATAAAATAAAATAAATGAAATTTGGCAAAGGACTAGACATTCATATTTCTTCGTTTAACACAAAAGTATTATTCAATTTAGTCTATTGCCCACATAATAATATACTATACATACTGCTATTTGATTACTGGAAGAATAATGCAGCCACCTTACATGTAATTTAAACTGATCGATCACTTTTGTTAAGATTTTGTTTTTAAATGATTTATATCTATCTATCTATCTATCTACCTATCTATCTATCTATCTAATTATCTATATTTTTTTTTTTATTTTGTTTTGGTAATTCAAAATAATTTATTCAAATAAACTACCACCAATTATCGCCTCCAGCTGACTAGAAGTAAGATTATTTAATTTCTCAGCTTGTCCTTCGTCAAAAATATTCGAAGACTGATTGAGCATCTTTTTTTTAACAGTTTTTGAAAAATTATATGTACACAGTGCTATTGTATTTTCTAACAACTCCTCGTCTTCTTCCCTTTGTGATTCTTCACTTTCTTCGCTGTTTAGATGAACCTGTAAATTATATTTATGTATACAGAAGAAAAATGTTTGTTTTTTTTTCACACAAACAAAAAATTTACATATACTAATACAAGACAATTTCACGCTGAAATGGTTCATGTATGTAAAATGTTTTAGAATTGTGATTCACCATTATGAAATATTTGATGAAAAAAAGTACTCACCTTTTTATAACCACTGCAATTTATAATAAATAATATATAATGATTTATAATTAAATGTATATTTTCTATTCATCAATATCCATTAACAGTGAATCAATTTTTTTACTTACTACAATTTACTTTTAACTAAGAACCCAAATAACAGTAACTGAAATAAATACACACTCACTTGTACGTACAAAAAATGAAGGAAAAACATTTTCACTTTTTAATCAAATTTCATTTCTGCCAATATTTAAGGTAAGGATGCGGGTAATAATGTAAAAAATTTGAAAAAAGAAATTTTAGAAAAATGAAATGAAAATAAATTAAAACTAGGATAATAATAATAATAATAATAAGTATTTTTTGTTAAAATACTCTGTCTAAAATTTACATTCTCAGACATATTAATATTTTTTTATGATTCATGCAGATGTAATAATAATCTTTAATACAAAAGATATATTATTACTGATTTATAATATAAATGCAATAAATGATTTTAAAAAAATTCCATATAATGGATTACAGTAACATATTATTTTATAACTATAATATTATATATAATGTACATAAAATAGTTTTTGTTATACTAAATTTTGATAATCCTATGAGAAATAAATTTCATGAACTTTACTTTGATGCAAAATAAGATAAGTTACAGGCATTATTTTTAAATGTAACAATAAAATTATAATATTTATATAAATGAACGTATAAAAATGATAATACTAATTTATAATTACAAAAATAAAAGCATTATTTTAAAGTACATAAAGGAATCTTTTTAGAATGACATAACATTCCATTATGTCTTTTATTTATTATGCAACTTAATGCAAATGCCTGTCCTCATGCTCTACCACCATCAAAGTATTACATTTTTAGCTCATTTCAATTATATTCAAAATAAGTAAAATGATTTGACTAATCTCTTACAAATCTATTTGTAATACCTAATAGTTATGAAATAAGTGAACCGATTGTTATATTATTTTATTGATTATAAAAGCTACTAGAGTATCATCTTACCTCTACTATTGAAACTCGAGGGGATGGTTCTCGTTGTAGCTTTGTTTCCATTTCTATAGGACTACTAGATCTTGATAAATATTCTTTATCAATTTCAGCTTCGTTATCAGAAGAATCTTTTTCATCTTCTGCAGATGATCTCTGTACTTCCATATTTTCATGCAACGTGCAAACAAAGCCACCTTTTTCACCATACTCAAATAAATTCTCATCTAAATGAACTGATATATATAAAAAACAAACAAAAACATTTCTTCTTTATTTAAATTCAAACACAATTTTATATCTATATCATTACTAATAAATGTAAAAATATTACCTTGACAAAAAGCAGCACTACAAAATGAGCAATGTGCGGATGTTCTTCTATTACATATTAAACAGTGATGCCATGGACAACTAAATTTACTTTCCGTATTAAAGATATTTATACAAGTGCTATGATACTTCTTATTGCATGTTTTATGGTCGCATATAATAATTTCGCTATCAGGTGTTATCTCTTGTCCACAATGCCAACAAAAACGTTTCCTTAATCTAAGATAAATACAAATATTAATAATACACATGTTTTTCTTATTCATAATTGTAATTAGATAATTAAAAAAAAAAAAAACTAAAAACAAAAAAATAGAAGTGTATAAATTTTGTACCTTCTTTTTTTTACTTTTTCAACCTTTTCAGGTTTTTTAGGTTGTACTGCGACTGAAGTTATTTGTGGTTTTTGTACCTTTAAACCTATAAATCCACTACAATTTGGTGCGCCGCATAAACAAGCTTTACGTGTTTCCCCATCGCAAGCTAAGTTATAATTAAAAGTTAATTCTTCTCCTGGCGCTATATCTTGCAAAGCAAATAAGCCAATACGAGTATCTCCATTTACTGTCCATTTTTGTGTTTCACAATTTGGTGAACAAGAATGATCTAAATAAAACAGAATATTAGAAAAATTATACATGCATTTATTTTTTAATTACAATGTATTTTTATAAAAGAAGATAAACTTACTCATGAATCGACTAAGATTACCCTTTGGTTCTGCATCGATCATTCTATTATTATCTATTGTCAAAAAGTAAAAATTTTCGTTCTTCAGTTCTTTCTTCCTAGTTAATCTTTGTCTGTATTCAGCTTCATCTATAATTTCGCCTACATATTCAATTACAAATTGGCCAAACTTAATAGCTTCTAAACTTCTAAGACCCCATCCGCGACCAACTGTATGAAATGGTTCCATTGCTGGGTACTGTCTGCGTGCAAAATCTTGATTATTGCATTTGGTACCAGCCGGACATACTCCCGGACTACATTCTATCAGTAAAATACGATTTAAACAATATGTTCCAGGCGCACAAGGATCATCTAATTCTGGATCGCAATCACATGCCACAATACTTTCAACTTCAACAGGTTTCACATTACCTACAGGCTTGTTAACCTAAGAAAATATATGATTAATAAGAAAAGAAATATTCATCTAACGCAATTGTATAGAATTGTTTATAATTCAAATAATAATGTACTTTTAATTTAACATATGGTGGAGGTTTCAATCCCTTAGCCTCAATATCCTTAGCAGCAGCTCTCTCAATTTTTAAACGTTTATGAATCTCGCTAGCTTCTTCTAAAGCTTTTCTATAGGTATTATTTCTCATAGTTTTTTTACCTACTGAAGGCTTTATAGTTGCATCTCCTTCTTGATATAAGAAAGCACGCCCTCTGTAAATGTTATGTAAAAATTATATATCCTATTAGTTTTCTTTCTATATAAATCTTTAAAAAAGATATAAGCACATCATATATTTACCTGTGGACCCAATAATAATTATTAGAACCTAAAAACATGACACAAAATTTGCCTGGACTATGTGGTATAGAACCTACATTTTCAGGTATTTCATGTGGATAACATATACGTGAGGGCCACCAGCGATAATTACCAAGTTTGACCCATACTACTTCTCCATAAAGGGGAAGTCTTCCAGTTTCACAATCTTCGCATATAAACGCACCATCCGGTGCATTTATACCTGTTATAATCAAAGACAAATATTTTAATACAATATCAATAAAAATATTCTTTTTTTTTTTTTTTTTTAGATTAAAAATATATTTACCAAGACATTCCAGATGAAATGAAGTTGGACATGTGTCACAACAAATGAGACTTCCACCACGAGTACAAAGAAAACACCATGCTGCATTCAACGGAGGATGAGGAGCTTTGTAATGTTTAGGACAGACAATTTGGCTTCCTGTTAATATAACTGATCCAGCTGGTAAACATGATATAGAAGCATGATAAGATGATGGACATCTTACGCATTTTGCTATTTTTTCATTAGGTGCACGAGAATGACTATCTTGAGGATTATCCGAACTACATGTATGACATATGTGATATGGACAATTTAAACGACCTCCTTGCCAGCGAGACTGAAAAATAATATCACATTTTTAATTTCAATTATAGGAAAAACATAATTATAATATACATAAAGGCTATTTATATTTATTCATACTTGAGGCCAAGATCTTAAGCAAGATGTATGGTAATGTTTGCCACATGCTAAAACTGAACATCTTATTCTATCTCCTTCCCTTTCATTACATACAAAGCATGCTGGAGCTACACCTGACAAACAATCAATACATTTAAAGCTTTCATCTTCTTGTTCTTCTGCTTTATCTAAAGAAACAAAAATATAATATTAATATCATAATTTAATTAAATTAAAAAAAGATGTAGTATTAAGTATACAATTAATTATATACCACTATTTTCTTCGTCATCCGTATTGCTCCTTTTAATTTCTCTCAAATCTTCGAATAATTTATCACTGTATGTACTTTCATCAATAGAATGTTCTGGACTAGATTCTCCAGGTTTGACACATGACAAATGAAAGTACGAATAACAGGGTCCCCTACATCTTGTTAACTTTCCTGTTTTTTCACATATTTGACAAACCTTTTCTGCTTTCATACCTTTAAAAAGATTATATGGTCTCGGTTTTTTTGTTTCTACTGCATCTTCTTTTTCAATTTTCGATTTGACTTTTTTCGTATCTTTTGTAACAACACTTTCCGCATCTGTTGACGTGTCTTCTTCCGATTCTTCTGGTGCATCATCTTTCGATTGATTACCTTCAGATTTGACATATAAACGATATTTTCTACGAAAAGAGGAATTCATATCGTTCCAAGTTTTTCTTAAATATTTTCGAATTTCTTCTTCCGACAAATCAGGATGTTCATCTTCTAACATATCTCTATTTCTTTCGTAATAAACTTCAAAAACACCTTCAGGACGTTCATCACTTTTAAAATCGCTTTTTTGTGTTGCAGATGAATCATTTGATTCATTAGATTTAGTTGACATTCGAGAAGGACTTTCAAGATTTAATCTCACATTTGCTTTACCATTTTCATTATGTCGCAAATATCTTAATTTAGGCGATTGTAATTTATACTGTAACTTATCTGATACGTCAATCTAGAAACAAAACAAAAAATATTTAGTATTACATATATTTGTACGAGTATAATTATAATAATATTTTATCATATTTGAATTATTAATTTAACTCACATTTTCTTGTTTAGAACGCTTAGCGTCTGGTCCACTTAAGTCACTTGTTAATTTTCTTTTACCTGATTTATCCTTTTCACAAAAATCAGGTGTCTTTTGCGTTCTTTGTCTTTTAACTACTGGTTTAAATATATCAGCTCTTTCTTGATCAGACATCGATTTAACATCTGTAGCTTCTTCGACGGCTGTATCCCATTTAGACTTTAATCCTGCCTTAATAATAAATCCTGCTGCATATTTAGTATCCTTCCTTTTCATTTCTGCTGGTAATGATTCAGACAGCTTTAGAAAGTCATCAAGATTAGTGAAAGGGATCATATAATGCGATGAAACCCAACTATGCCGTCCTTTATCTCCAAAATACTGAACGTGTATCATTAGCAACTGCGATCTGCCAGTAGCTGATTAAAAAAGTCATTTAAACATGCTTTTTAGATTTAATAGACTTATTCATTCTATAAATAAATGTAATGTATTATTATTTTAAAATGTATAATGTATTTAAAACAATGTTTACCTTTATATTTGTAAAAAATTAATGTAGTTGGATCTAATGTTACAACGCATGGCCAAAATGGAAAATTTCCAACACGGGCCCATGCTAATTGTCCTAAATTCCAAGTGGATTGTGCAGGGGTATTATCAAACTTAGGAGATAATATTTCTTCCATAGAATTGGTAGAACTAAATGAGTCACTTGCTTCATCTCCATCATTAACGATGTTACTTTCATCTACATTTTCATTACTATTTTCACTAGAGTTTTGAGATTTGCGTGTTTTTGACATTTTGTAATTCTATAAAAAAAAAAAAAAATAATAATTATACAATAAGATAACGAAATATTTCAACTATCCTATGATCGTAAAGATAATATGTAAAAAATGAAAAAAAGATCGTGCATATATAATAGACAAAAAATGACTGTGATGGCTCACGCCGAGCAGCATCGTCGTCAGCAGAAGCAGACGCTCCAGCCGAAGCCTGAATTTGACTAAGCGATGACCTTTAGTCAAAATACGAAAACTCGTGTACCTTAGAAGATTCAGATATGTCATCTCGAGGAGATTTAGGCTTTATTGTTCTGCCATAACGACTTTTACCAGGAAAATAAGCACTATCTATTAGATCAGACTTTTCTCCACCATTATCTACAGAATCAGCAACACCGTTAATATTTTCTATTTTCTTGTTGCAAATGCTTTGTCCTGCATCGTTAGCTGCTTCGGCCACCTTGTTATTCCGTATATTGAAAGAGCTCATAGCTTAATCGTTAAATTATCATTTTAAGCTATATAACTCTGTTCTGTGATCAAATAATGCTAGTTTGTAAAATTCTTCAACTGTCAGTATGGGTTATAATACTAAGAATACTTTCTAAAGAGCTTAGAAATCGAAAACAATTTTCTATTACCGCTGAAAATAGTCGCAATGGCCGATTTTCAAGGATTAACTTATTTTTCACGACTCTTTTAGATTTCTCCATCCGTTGTTGAAATATCAATATGTATTGCACATGAAGCTTCACGAACTCCACAAAAAGAATCTCTATAGAATGTTTATTATTAACATTAACAAAATATAAATTACCATTACGGGACTAATGGAATAGAACGCGTTTCCCGCGATTTCGGTTGATCCACATAAAGTGTTCGTTCATTTACTTGATGCTGTGTTATTTGCATCCTATACTTTCATGAAAATGTAATGTTAGTATTGGTACGATCTTCCTATTGGACCGCCATCTACAAAGAAATACTATGCAACGATTCTGATAGGTTATTGGTTATTAGATTTTTTTAAGTAAATAAAGTTTACTATCATAATATTGCATACATTTTAATTTCTCATTTTCTAGGTTGGAGTTCAGATTTTTTTAATTTTAAATAAACATTTTATACATTTATTAATCGAATTACTAGCAATAGTTGTTTTTTTTTTTAGATTTGGAAATTTTTCGTACGTTTAAATTATTTCATGTGTACGTACTTAAAATAAATATATATATGTATAAATTAAATTAAGTTTAATTAAAATAAACATATGCTTATATACATAAAATGTATCTAATAAATGTTTTATTATTACTGTTAAAAAAAAAAAAAAAAAATAGAGACATGTCAAGACTAAATGTTATATTCATTTCTCTTAGATGTAATTTATGATTTAGGTTAGGAAATATTTTATTACAACTATTATTAATTATTGCAAAATGTTGCTATAGTATGACTTTCGGAATGAAATTTTTTTAATTCTCTCAGTCCACATTCTTGCGTAATGTTCTTTAATTCTTGGGTAAAATTGTCCAAGTCCTCTTTACGTAATTCACTTAAGTATTTACGTAATTCAATTAATATATGTCCTTTTTTTTTTAACGATGATACTACATTTGGTAATTGTTTAGTCATATTATGTGCTACCCAAATTGCATCAAATTTCTCTTTATACTCTGTTCTATTTTTAAATAGTTCCAACGTCGACAATGGGTGAAATAAAACCTGAAAGTGTGTAACATCGTTTCAGATGTTTACTTTTAGCATTTAAAATAGTCATCCTTTCTTGTATTTTATACCTTCGTATTAGGAATAGATATCCAAGGAACGCTTTGTTTTTTGTACTTATTGCATTTAACCCATGATTCATATTCTATATCAGAACTTGGCATTTCTGTTATTATTATACCATTTAAGACAGACTGATCTCTATGTGCAGCGACGAGTTCTTCGCAAAAAGGTTCCTTCGTTCTAATTTCATGAATAACACGCATTATCTCTCTTTCCGCTATATCAGTCGCTCTGAGCTTTCTATGCAATGAAAATTTGTATTATCAGAATGGAAATGGATTAAAAATAGATTTGATATTTTTTATATCTTACACATTATTTTCTTTATCTTCATTTAAAGCCCATGTAAAAAAGGGTCCATTAGTTATATCTCCTAAATAAGCATAATGCAAAAATCCCTCTCCAAGAGGAACGATATTATTTAAAAGTGTTGGATTACTTCTAGTAGGTTCACCCTCTATCCAAGTGAACGCTATTCCATTATTTCTCCAAAATCTGATTCACAGATAAAGTCAAATATAATTGCATATACCTATTCTTTGATTCGCATGTTTATTTATTTATCTGTCAGATATATTTTGCATGAAAGTAACTGTTCTGGTCAGACATACCTATATTCATGTATGGTTAAATTCATATGACCTCTTGGTTTTAATATCATGTGATAGTCCCAATCAAAAACTCCATCTCTGTAGTCGTATCGTGTTTTTAATGATTTTCTAATTCTTCTGTCCCAATAATCCACAATTGGAACACCTTCACGCGTAGCACGTTCCCAAAATCTTTTATCAGATAGGTTTAATATAACGATGAATGTCATAGTATCTCTAAAGCTCAAAAAGTAAAGGACTCACTTAAATATCCATTCTAACTGATCTCTGTCCTTATGTTTAAGCTTTTCCAGATTTAGCCAAGGACAATCGATGGTTTGAGTTACAGTATCTGCTAATAATTTCGAATGTTTTGCCAAATATTTAGCGGTAGCGGGTCTTAAAAGTGTATTTCCCATTATTTCCAAGTAATATCGAGTTGCTTCTTGGAGTCCTTGAGTATATTCACACAATCTTTCACATAATATTTTCATAATTACTATTATGAGATACTTCTAAGATTGGACATATACATACCTAAGTCTTTATCCAAACAAGTGCTTAATAAAAGTATTGATCTAGCAATTTGTTCCATCGTTGGTTCAATTATATGATAAATTATATTACGATCAGAGTGTTTATAAGAGGACGCTAATGTCTTTACAATATGTCTTGCATCAGAAGCACCTATGATCAATACCTCAAGAGATTTTTTAGATGTATCATCCTTTTCCTCAATTTCACATTGTAAGTCTAATGGAGCACTATATCCCCACCACATTTTTTATTTTTATTTTTCCTGAGTTTTTCACTACTTTCTTTCAATACACACGATGCCCTAAAATGCAGTATAAATGTATGGTAATAAGGACTATTACTGTTATGGATACGAACCAAAATTGACAATTTCTAGTTGCCATAGAGAGAAATACATATGAAAATTTCGCGCGAGTTTTTTCTTCCCATGCGCACGCGCACATTTAAAAGCGCGAGCGCATTTTTTTTCTTTTTTATTTTCAAAACTCCAGTTTATAATCACGTTTTTTCTTTTTCTTTTATCATATAACAAAAAGTTTACTTGTTTTTTCTCAATATCACATATATATATATATATATTTTTTCTGTTCTTATAAGTTGTCTATTTCGTTAGTATTAATTCATTGGAATGAGAATATATAAAATATATAGATGAAATTTTTAAGCAAGTTGGAGGATTAAGAAGTACTGTATTAAAATAAAAACATGAGATAATTTTTTTTTATATAATAAAATTATAAACATATTAGCGACGATTATGTCATTTAGACTTATAAAACCATTTATTATTTTACTTCTATAATGTAGATTCTGTGACACAGATAAAAATAACTCCCTTTCGAACCTTAATGTGTACAGAGGTTCCTTAAAGTGCTCCTTTTTTCCTAATTTGATCAACATTACTAGCTCATTTATCTCTCTTTTTTTGAGCACGCTTATTTCCACAACGCTGTAAAATATCCGTGATAGGTCCTTTATGTTGAAAAATAGAAATTAGTTGCGAGCGTGCTTCGTTCATTCCATCGCTGATGAAACTACTACGTTGCATATTTCCTTTAATGAGTTCGTTTATACGTTCAAGTCCATCATCTTGCTTATTTTTAATAGTTTGTTGAGACTCAAGTAATGTCAATGTCGTTTTTAATTTTTCATATACCTAAGTATATAAAGATGATAGAAATTTAATTAAATAAAAAAAGCAATTTTTTAATTTTAATTATACAATATATCTAATCGAGGTAAATGAAACATTTACCTGATTTTCAAGCTCAGCAATATCGTCCATTTGTGCTGTAATATGATACACTTTCCAACCATTTAATTTTTGTAGAACATGTTTCTGCTGTGCCAATTCTGCTACTGAGGGTCTCCTTTCTTCACGCGGTCGTACCTCGCTAGGTCTTCTGTAATGATGAAGTCTACCACTCCATCTATTTGTCCAAGAAGAACCTTTAATATAAATTATTAATATTACAGTTGTATTATCTGATAATTAGATCGATTATTATAGTACTTGATAATTTATGCTTTATTTGCAAACCTAATAAGCTTGGTGGTCGTATTCGTCCAGTAATAGGTATTGGGTGTATAGGAGGAGATTTCATATCTCGTTGTACATTAGACATATGTCTTTTATCAGTTGTTTTGTCTTTCGAATCTTCCTTTGTATCTTTCTTTACTTTTTCCTCTGTAATAAATTGCATTTCTTCTTCCGTACATCTAGGTTCTGTTAATTCAACACCTGTCAATTGTTGTTTACGAGGTTTCTTCCTTGGTGACATTTCTATTGTTGGATTAATTGTTATCCTTGATTGTTCCGGGTCTTCGTCAAGACCAGGAGATGAAGTAGCCGAAACAGTAGTTGATCCTGAACTTTGACAACCACCACCATCTTGATCCCTTGGAGAACCAGGAGGACTGGATGTTGATGGTACTGATGGTAAAGAAGCAAGAACGGGAACTAAATTTTTAGCTGCACCTGAGAATTAAAAAGTTATATTATAGATGATTTAAATCAATAAAATTATCTATGTGCAAATAAAAAATATACAAATATATAAAATTTATTATCAATGCCCAATAAAGTTCAATATCTTTATAAAAATACCTTTAATAGGAGAAGTGTCATGATCTCTTTTCCTAAGTATGCTTGGTCTTGGAGATGCATTAGGTTTACTGTGTGGTTCATCATATCCTGGCTCAACAAGTAATCTTACAGGTTGTACCGCAGTCTGTCGATATTGCGAGTATGTACCTGTATGCAATTAAAAAGAAATATTAGAAAATTATTTTATCATTAAGCACAGTACAATTGTAGACTATTATTTAATAAAACTAGTAATAGTTTGTAAAACTAACCACCAGTCTCCAAAGAATAATAGGTAGTAGTAGTATGGGGTGGATGCAAGTATTGACCTTGAACTGACTGAGGAGGATTAGAAGTTGAATTGGTAGTATTCGTTGAAGAGTAACGAAGTCCTGATTGTTGAACAGGTTGTTTTATCTGTACCGCTTGTCCAATATTTTGTGCTTGTGCAGTTTTCACCGGCGTTGATGCAGTTCTTGCTGGAGCCAAAGGTAATGGATGCAAAGACATTCCAGTTATTCTTGTAACAGTAGTTGTAGTTTGTGGTAATCTTGTGACATTGGATGTATTTGATGTTGTTGTAATAACACGTGAAACTGTATTAAGACTTGATAAAGGAGTTACTGTTTGAACAACACGTGCTGTTCCCTGCTGCTGTTGCACCTATCAAAAAATTCCATTTTTATTTTATTATTTTATTTTATTTAACAATAAAATTCTATTAAAATTTTACCTGTTGCTGTGGGATTACGATACGACTGACAGTACCAGCTGATGGACCAGCTGTTGTATTAATAGATAACTGTCGGCTCAATGTTGGTTGGACACTAACAGAAGCTGTCCCACCTATTCTGCTTGTTGTTCCTACTACTGGTGCCGATACAGCTATACGGTTTACTGTACCTGTTGTACTGAGAGATCTACTTGTCTGATTAGGCTAAAATAATATATATGTATATAAATTATAATCGTTATTTAAAGTCAAATATTATTATGTAAAATTTCACTTAAAATGTTTACTTGAATAGCTTGCGTCGATGTTCTTCCAGTTTGCGATGTTTGCGAAACATTTGTTACTTGAGCAGCTGGAGGTCTATTTTGTGCAACTGGAAGTCGTGTAATACTATTACTTGTTTGTAGAATGGGTGTTATTAATCTGGACGGAGTACCAGGAACTCCAGTAACCATAGTGGCCTGTACAGATCTTCCTTGATTGGTTTGAGTTATTAATCTGGGTTGTTGTCCACTGTAAACAGCAGATGGAGGTCTTGTAGATACTCTACTAACAGGAGGTGTTGGGTGTCGTTGTGGTTGTGCATATACAACTGGAGTTGCTTTAGGTTGCCATTGAGGATTTGATACTGTTGTACTTATTCTAAAAAATAAAAATATATCATATTTTATGAACTATCATTAATAACTATTAAAAGTTAGCACATACATAAACATAAAATTTGAAAATAAATACATACCCTGCTCTTGTAGTGGGTACAGCTTGACCAGTGTTAGCTCTAACAATAGGCGTAGCAACTGTTGATCTTGGAGCAGCAATATTTGCAACCGCTGCTGGTCCTCTAGGTACATGATACGTTGCTGGTATACTAGCAATTTGCTGGTTCTGTTGATTTAACTGTTGTTGAGCTTGTTGTTGATTTTGACGTTCTACTGCATTCAATATACTTGGTGATATAATTCTTACCGTAGAACCCACTGAACAAAGCTATAAAATAAACATAAATGTTAACGTAAACATTGACTTAACTCTCAATTAATAGATATTTAAATACGAATGAATAAATTTACCGTCGTTGTGATCTTATTTGTTTCCGTATTGGATGTTGCACCAGATGGAATAACAGGCTTCATCAGGGATAATTTTGGATTAATGTCCAATGATACAGATTTACCAACAAGGCTAGAAGGAGTTCCAACTGTTCCAACAATAGTTTGCGTAGGCTGTATACTTTGTATATTACTTTGAACTACACTTTGTACATTCTGTATGCTTTGTATATTTTGCATTGTAGTTAAGTTTTGCGCTATAGTTTGCACTGTAGTCTCAGGCAAACGTTTATCACCGCCACCATCCGTAGAACTTAAATTTGTATTCATAGCTGCTTCCCTAAGAGAGTGCATATTAATAATAAATTGCATATTTTAATAAACACACAAAAAATAATTGTTTTAAATAATAAAATCGTTAAAAATATTGTATGAAGAAAAGCAAATGTTACATTTTTAAATATTTTAATCTGACAGCAGTTAATGTTGCATAGAAAGAATTGAAGAAAAGGGTGTATACCTTTGTATAAATATTAGATAATAATTTCATTACAGAATTACTTAAACGCTTAAACACTACATATTGTAAATAATTCTTTTTCATTGACGTTACGCGAAAAATAACATTTAACGAACAGCAAAGAACTCGCACATTTGCTACAAAAGTTTGTAGCGCCTAATGTAAGCAGATTGCAGTGTAGGTACACAGTAACTGGAAACATTTAAATGTCCCATGTATGTCTATTAAAGATTCCATCTAGGGGAATTAAGTTTTGGATGTTTGTATTGTTTTTATCTTATTTTACTACGTGATTGGATTACGGTATTGCAAAGTAATAAGATCAGTGATTTTGATTGGACACAAACTATGAGATTATAAATAATGAATTGACTTATAAATATTAACAATAAATTAAATATTAAATTACATAAAATACACATTTGATATTATAATCGTGTGAGGTTATATTGTTTGATAAACATTCATTTATTCATCATATACATGATGTTAAAGTATAAACCGGAAGTGATGTAAGATCTGTATTTTGCGCGCGAAATTATGATTTCAACGATAATTACAATGTGAATGTATCATTTATTTATTTAAAATTATTTCGAGATTTATGAGTGAGATATTGAATTAATATTATTTATCAATTATCATGTATTTTCAGTTATCCAATATTTAAATAAATGCTTTATTATTTAATATTGGTTTAAGTCATAATAAAACCAAGAATGTTAAATATCTTTAACAAATTGCTTATTTATGCTAAATATTACATATAATACATGCATATACTTATTTAATGAACAAATAATAAGGATAAAATATATGCGAAATGCTACACAATATAATCTTTATTTTATATAATTTCAATATTTCATTTTTCCATCTTATAGTCGACATTATTACACAATAACTATTATAGAATATATTTATAATATTATACATGTGTGTGTACATATTATGTACTCATCTTTACTATTGATTCATTTTATACGTATATCATTATATATATGTATATTTGCCTATGATTCACTCGATACTGCACATTTTTTGCATCGGATTCTTTAAAACCTAAATGCCTAGTTACATAACATACATACCCACGTTTAAGTGTATCACAGTTGTGTTGAGGGACAGAGAGGAATTAGAAGAAAAAAAGAAATTATTGTGCAACCGAAATCGAATATAGTCCATTCAGTAAGATCGTAATACACGTAGCACGACTAAATTATAATGAAGATAAACATATTTCTGAGATATGAAATAGAATTTTTAAAGAACTGGCAACTGCGATGAAATGTATCTTGCATTCCTCAAATTAAAAGAAAGTTTTTCATTTATATGTGCATAAAGATTAAATATAATTTCACGAAGATGAATGATAAGAAATAGAAAGAACCGATGCGTTTATATTTACATCAAAGTTTGAAATCATTATTTCTTTTGTTAAAAGTATTTGAAAATCTATATATATGATGTCTTAATGAATAATTGAAAATAAATTTGAGGATGACCATTATCCATCTGACAAATTTATTCTTCGATAG